GCCCAGGCTAGAGTGTAGTGGCCGGATCTCAGCTCACTGCAAGCTCCACCTCCCGGGTTTACGCCATTCTCCTGCCTCAACCTCCCGAGTAGCTGGGATTACAGGCACGCACCACCACCATGCCTGGCTAAATTTTGTGTTTAATAGAGATGGGGCTTTCATTGGCCAGGCTGGTCTTGAACTCCTGACCTTAAGTGATCTGCCCGCCTTGGCCTCCCAAAGTGCCGGGATTACAGGCGTGAGCCACTGCGCCTGGCTTGTTTTTTTTTGATTTTAGAGACAGGGTCTCACTTTGTGGTCAGGGCTGGAGTGCAGTGGCACAATCACAGCTCACTGCAGCCTCTATCTCCCTGGCTCAAGTGATCCTCCCACCTCAGCCTCCCGAGTCACTGGTACCATAGGCATGCGCCATCACACTTGGCTAATTTTTTTATTTTTATTTTTTTGTAGAGATGGGGTCTCGCTACGTTGCTCAGGCTGGTCTCCAACTCCTGGGCTCGAGCAGTCGTCCTGCCTTGGCCTTGCAAAGTGCTGGGATTACAGGTGAGAGCCACCACACCCAACACTCCTCTCCTCCCCTCCCCTCCCATTCCCCTACCCTCCCCTTCCCTTCCTTTTTCTTTTTTTTGAGATGGGGTCTCTCTCAGTTGCCCAGGCTGCAGTGCAGTGGCACGATCTCGACTCACTGCAACCTCCAGCTCCCAGGTTCAAGCGATTCTCCTGCCTCAGCCTCCTGAGTAGCTGGGATTACAGTCACATGCCACCTCGCCCGGCTAATTTTTAGTAGAGATGGGTTTTCGCCATGTTGGCCAGGCTGGTCTTGAATTCCTGCCCTCAGGTGATCTGCCTGCCTTGGCCTCCCAAAGTGTTGGGATTACAGGCGTGAGCCACTGCACCCGGCCTTCTCTTTTTTTTTTGAGACAGAGTTTCGCTCTTGTTACCCAGGCTGAAGTGCAGTGGCGCGATCTTGGCTCACCGCAACCTCCACCTCCCCGGTTCAAGTGATTCTCTTGCCTCAGCTTCCCGAGTAGCTGGGATTACAGGCATGTGCCACCACACCCAGCTAATTTTTTTTTTTTTTTTTAAGTAGAGATGCGGTTTCTCCATGTTGGTCAGGCTGGTCTCAAACTCCTGATCTCAGGTGATCTGCCCACCTCGGCCTCCCAAAGTGCTGGGATTACAGGCGCAACCCACCGCACCCAGCCCTCTTAAAACATTTGTAGTTGCAACGTTCAAATGTAATTGCACATAATAAATACTTTGGAACCCAAGGCCCAATCTGAAGCATTGTAAGCCTCAAACATTTACTGTCACAAACTGTTTATCTACATATTTGCAGAATATCATTGATCTTTGGTAATTACTCTTTGCAGCAACCAGAACCATTTTGTAATTTTCTTATAGATTGCTATACTTGGTCAAATATTTATTGAGTGCCTATTATATGTCAGGCCCTATGATAACCACTTAGTTACTAAAAAGGACCATTAACTGCATTTTGGCTTACTTTAACCTTCAGTAATAAAATAAAACTTGCTTAGTTTCTCAAGTAATACAAACCTTGTTAATTCATTTTCTCTACTTCAAATTGCAGAGACTTCAAGTACAAGAAACAACATATTTTTCAATGGAGCTACTAATGCACTTCTGTGTGGCCGGGCGCAGTGGTTCATGACTGTAATCCCAGCATTTTGGGAGGTCGAGGCGGTGGATCGCCTGAGGTCAG